ATTATGTAGCTAAAATTTGAATAGCAAATTTCAAAGGGCAGCTCAAATACACAAAGACATTTATCAAAATGTGCAGAGATTTAGGTTTAGAAAACATAATGGGAAGTGCACATTCAGTATTTTTCAAACTTAAAGAGCCGAAGAAAATCTTAAGAAATTAGTTCCAATATTAACAGATTTCTTGAGTAAAATATTGAAAAATGCAGATAGTATAAACAAATTTGGTCTGCTGTCAACCATTTCCAGAGATAGTGAGATTTAGTCCGTTAAAATGGTCCTTCTAGCTAAGGGAAGACTGAAGTAGAATTGGTGCATTTGTATTGTGATTCTGGAGAAAAAATATTGACAGTACCATGACTGCTGAGAGGACATACTGATCTGCCTTGGATAAAGTATAGCCAGAGCACTTCTTAGAGGCAAAGATGGTGAAGCTTTGTCTTACCTACTTTGGCCCTGTTGTGAGGAGAAACTTGTACCTGGGGAAGGACATTTTGCTTGGTAAAGTAGAAGGAAAGTGAAAGAGAGGAAAATCCTCAAGGAGATGCACAGAAGCAGTAACAAAGCACAGAAACAATTTTGAGGATGGCACTGAACCAGGCATTGTTTTGTTCTGTTGTGCGTAGGATTCCCTCTGGGTGGGAACCAACTCAGTGGCCCCCAACACCAAGTAAGGCATAATTCCTTACTTGGTGAGTCATCATTTTGAACTCTATGCCTGTAGAGGGAATTATCTGCTGTACAAATAAACAAGATTAAGGTTGGGTTAAGACTCTTGCAGAGTGGTGGGATTGAATCAAGAACCTTGTTCTTACTAGCCAAACTTAAAACTCACAACACCACCAGAGACTTCAGAAAATTGTATAGTCGTTTTTTTAATAACTATGTAAGGTGTTTGACTTTGGATAATTTTGCATAGCAATGTTAAAAATAAGAATTTTTGACGCATTATTTTGATCATGAAGAATTTGTACATAGACCAAGAGGCAGTCAATCAAACAGATCTAAGGGTTACCATATGGTTTAAAAGCAGGTAGAGTATGTATCATGGGTTTATCCTTTCATTATATTCATTCAATCTCTATGCTGAGTAAATAATCTGAGAAGCTCAATTATATTAAGAGGAACGTAGCATAAGGATTGAAGAAGGCTCATTAGCAGTTTTGGATAGCCGGATGATAAAGACTCGCTGGCTCCAAAGGAAGAAAACTTGAAGAACTTTCTGAGGACGATCAAGAACTACAGCCTTCCGTTTGGGTTGCAAATATGTATATGTGTGTGTGTGTGTAAATATATATATATATTTATCCTTATATATATATGGATATATATATCCATCCTTATAACTGGAGCAATGAACAACACCATGAAAAATGGAGGAAATTGTATGTTTGCCAAGGATTTATTTTCATTTCTAGTCACAATCAGAGCTCAATATAGAAGCTGTCAAGAAACTAAAGAGCAATTACTCAAGGATAATCTTGGGCAACAGATAGGTGCACCAGATCCAAGATTTTTTTGTCACCTCGTATGCTTGTGAGACTTGGAAAATGAGTAAAGAAGACCTCTGAAAATAATACATTTTTCTTTTGAAAAGCCCAAGTT